AAAGATGTTTACAGAACTGTATCTACTCAAGTTTTTTTCAAGTAGTGTTCAAGTTCTGTTCAGTACACATTATAAAGGAAATTTGTTACAAAAAGCTTATCGACTACGAAATCAATAAAAATAACAAAACAGTAAATATTACCTTGGACTGGGGGAGATTTAAGAAGGTCCTCTGCAGAAAAAGGCGGTTGTAACTTTCACGTACTTCCCATTTCAATAACCTTGGTATATCACGGTCACCAACGGAGGTGCATATTACACCTTCAGCGGTGTCACACACCTCGTAGAACCACGTCTGGGGAGCCAAGATAAGGCCATAACACCTGTAAAGATATCCAGAACCCTCAGGCTTCTCGTAAATGTGTATTTGCTCTCTACTATGAATTGACTTCTTGAGATAGTAAAGAGTGAAATCAAAAACTTCTTTCCCCCAAGCATGGGCGTCGCACTCTGGACTGTCGATCAAGTCAACATAGCAGCAGTCAATGCGAAGGGCTTCTTGTGAGCCCATCAGGAAATTTGCCAGTAAGTGTAGCTTGGCAAATTTCACCGCATCCTCATCACAGGACCATGATTTCTTGAGAAATTGCCACCTGATGTGGTTGCGGCTCAATTCTACACCATCCAAAAACTTAACGTGTAGACCTCCAGAGATCTTTGGAATGTTCAACTTTTTAGTTTTGCCAATGCATTTCAGTCCGGTTATAACAGCAAATTCCTCTATCCCGAAACGAAGTAACTTCCCTCCAAAATCGAACCAAACCTCATCGCTCCTATTCTGATGAACCTCGCGTAAGAGAATATGGTTGATGAGTTGGTTTTGTACTATGCAGTGAGGGAGATCAAGGAACTTCCCAAATGGTGTTCTCCTGAATGCTTCCAATTGTTCAGTCGTAAGAGTCCTCTTGATATCGTTAATCGTGGATCGATCTTTGTTGTTATCGTTGTTGTTTTGGACCTTCACATTTATGTCCCTGGGGTGCGGGATGAGCAATTGCCATTCCTGAAAAAATGAAAAATAAAACACAATTAAATTATAAAAGATTGCTCTGTTCAATATACTTATGATTTGTTCTGTGCAATATACTTAAAATATACTTTCAACTATGCCCAAAAAAAAAGGTGTTCAATATAAGCATGTTCTGTTCAAAGCAATATACTTGTAAGTAATTGTTGAGTTACAAGTGTTCTGTTCAGATAAAAAAAAAAAAAAAAAAAAAAAAGTGTTCTGATCTGTTCAGTAAAGGCATGTTATGGTCTGTTCAATATACTTCAAATGTACTTTAAAACTATGCCCTGCAAGTATGACAAATGCTCCATAAAACACAGGTAAAACATCTGTTGCATGGGAAAAGCAAAACTCAGATTTTTCTAAAAAGCACCAAGTAAACATAGATATGAAAACCATACATGTACATATCCACATTGATATTATGATCTCAATGCAAAAGGAAACATAGTGTACGGCCTATCAATACTTGAGGTAATACATTGAAAAGGGTGAAATTTATCTGTATAAGCTCATAGCAATTCTTACAATTTTCCATTTTTGAATATAAGCCTTGCATATGACAAATGGTTGCAGAATTAACTTAAATATAATGCAAACAAAATTCCATATATTAGAAGGATGGAATACAGAGGTAAGAAAACTTTGAATATACAGGAAATATACTACATGTGTGTTGAACAAACACAAAAACATAATGGCACTATGACATATGCAGAAGTGAAAAACATACCACACATACACT